GAAATCATATCAAATTGGCTTGAAAGAAATAAAATTTGTTCGCCAACTGCTATACAATACTGTACTACAGTCAGTACTGCCACAGGATTTGGCAAAACTGCGGTTGATTTTTTTATATTTTTATTATTAATTTTAGGTTTTATATTAAATAAATAAATAATAATCATTTCATTATACATATTCCTGTGCTCCAGCTACCATTAAACTACGGCACTCTCAGCCAATAAAAACCCCTCAAACTTACGAAATCAAACCGATTAGTCGCACTCGCTGGGTCCTGGTGGTCCACGCACCACCCAATACAAACCCCTTTTCCCCTTTTTTTTTTCCCACTATATAAAAACCACTCCACAGCCAACCTTTTCCTCCCCACAGTCCCACAAAAACCATTTCCTCCTTCCCCCACCGCAACTCCGCCGTGCGCCGCCGCCGGTATTTTTGCTTCAGAGAACGATGAGGCCTTTTTATTCTGGATCTGAGAAGAAAACCCACCAGCCCCATTTTCTTGATTCTTGTTTTCTTTGTCACAGACAACTGAACCAAAACAGTGATATCTACATGTACAGGTCAGTAAAAAAACTCGAGATTCTTTATAAAGTTTGCTTTTTTTTTTTTTATGGGTTGATTAATTAATTGCTAAAAAATTCCTGATTTATTAGCTAAACTAATAATAATAATAAATCTTGGGTAATTTTGGTGCTCAACTTTAGTATTGAAAATTGGGATCTGGGTTTCAATGGTGGGTTTGATTTAAAGCTAGGAGCTTGTTTTTACCTTTTTTTTAATTTTTTTTTTTCAGGGGAAATACACCATTTTGTAGTCAAGAATGCAGGCAAGAGCAGATTGAAATGGATGAAGCTAATGAGAAAAGATTGAAACTTTCTTCAAAGAGATCAAATGGGGTCAGACAAAACAAAGATTCAGCTAAAGAATCTGAGACCAGCAAAGGTGTAAGAACAACAGGCACTGTGGCTGTGGCCTAAAAATGAAGAAGAAGAAGAAGAAGACAATTTATGATTTAAAATTCTTAATAAATAAATAAAAAAAAACCCAAAAAATAAGGGAAAATAAGAAAAGGGTAAAAAGGGGAGAAAATGGGAAAGGATGAAGATGATGATGATGATGGAGTTTGCAGTTCTTGATTTTCCCAAGACTTCTGTGATGAAGGGTAGTTTGATGGAGGGGTATTTTTGAGAATTCACAGAGGTGGGCAGGGCTTTGATATGTGAAGAGAGGGGAGGAAAAGAGAAGGCCCATCAATCAAACAGTTTTGATTTCATTTTATATTTTATTTCTAGTAGCATTAATGTGGTCTATGCATTTTAATGTAAAAATTTCAAAGTAAAAGCATGACATTAAAAAAAAAAAAATATGGATGTTTTTACTTGAATAATTTCTTATGTGATGGTTGATACATGCTACTATTTCTTATGATCTTTTGGAATTCTGAGGTCTGTTCATACTCCAAGAATAATATAAATTTTAATTGAGAATATATAATCATACACAACATTTTACAATGTAAGTTATGAATTTGTATTGAAGAAATATAAAAGGTTAGATAGGTAAGTTCGCCATACAAATTAAGGGAGATTCTACGGTCCTGTTATGGAACCATTCCGTCTGGAATTGTAACAGTTAAGGTTATGTTTGATAAAACTAGCTGATAGCGGATAAGCTAGCTTATAGTTTATTAGTAATTTTTAGCTTATAACTTATAGCTGATAAACTAGCTTATATGATAAAAGTGTTTGATAAACTTAGCTGATAAATTAGTTGGAATAAAAATTTCAACTACCTTATTTGAAAAGCTATCTCATGAAGTTTATCAAAAAAGCTCGCAAAAGTTCATCCTACCAAACGAGGCTTATTTGAATACATGGAGCTTATAAGCTAATCAAAAGCTATAAGATAGCTTATTTGTCTACCAAACATAGCCTAATCAACTATCTATGACGGTAAATGATTACAAATGTTAACGGAATGGTTTCGTAACGGGATTGTTGCATTTTCTACAAATAATAATATGTTGATATATACATTTGTTGCTTATGTTACGAATTAAATGAGACGACCGGTTCCTTTTTATTTTATTTTATTTTTTTTTTCTTTTTTAAGATGGCATGGATGTGAATAATAACTAGTTTTTGGCCCGTGCATTTGCACGGAAAGTTATATGATAGAAGAGAATAAAGTAAAAAAAACAAATATAAAAATAATAACATAATCATTGAAACAAAATAAGAAATAATATCTAAATATTATTAAATATTTCTTTATATACAACGTTCGTGGTTTTTCTATCGTCACAATCTCCATCAACACAAATTCCAAACTCCTCAGACTGATGACTCTAGATCGTGCCACATACAATTTTGGTCAACAAATCTCTTGTCAACACCTTTTGAAGATGGTAGTTTGCACATTTTGGTACATGACTATTCTAACGATTA